TTCTCATCAATGAGGAGAAGCCCAGGTCCAGGAGCTAAGAGCCATGACTACCACAAAACCATCCTGGGCACTGCCATCCCATGGCAGTGGTGACCCTTGAAACAAAGCTTTACCTCACACCCTAGCTGTCCCAGAAACATTTTCTCATCACAGTAAGCAGACCGAAGAGGAAGGTGCCCGGAATCCTTCCTGGGGGGTACTGTGCGCTACTCCACACTGCCACACTATTTCCTCTGACCAAATGCAGGCAAGGACCACAACATTCCTGTCCTTCGGTTGTGAATACGAGGCTTTGGGGGGAGGGTACCTGCATAATAATACTTAATATTTAAACCAAAATACTGGCGCATTTTGAAAAGTTCAGAGGGCAATTTTGATTGTTGAAATGATGAAAGGGAGGTCCCGGCATTTAGGAAGGGAAAGTTGCAGGGATGCAAACCTTTTTTGCAGAGACTTCAGTACACTGGATTTTCCATGAATGTAACTTCCCTGTAAACTGAGGGAAATTGGCATGTTGTTTTACCTGGAAAGGTACCAATAACCCTTGACCGTTTGGGAAAACACATCAGCGAAAGCCATTCCCTTCCTGGCTTTGAGTCTGCGACCACATGCCAGTTATCACTCGGTAGCTGCAGCTGTGCATGGAGGAGACAGGAGGAGGGGAACCCAAGTGTACGGACCAGGCGCAGCTTCTGCAGGATATGCTGGGAAAGGACGGGAAGAATTCAGTGGGAGACGTTCATCGTGTGATCTGCCAGGAGTGGCCGAACGAAACCAGCTTAACCACTGCCACTTTGCTTCCACGTCTGTCTCCCTCACCAGACTCTTACCTCCTTCTTGGAAGGTTGGACACACACCCAGTTCATCGTGGTGTCCTCAGACCGGAGGCCCCGACACTTAGCAGAAGGCCAGTCCACACCTGTGGAACTGAAGGAAACCGGGAATGGCTGGACCCCGCGTCAAAATGACGAACCACACGACAGAACCATGTCCAGACTGAAGCACGTCAGGCTGCGGAGGGCAGGACGCAAGTGCCACAGGCCTGTCTTAGGACCCCTGCAGCAGGGTCCCAGCAGCCTGCGGTACTCATCTCCCATTACATCCCTCAGGGGTCCCAGATTTGACCAGTTAAAACAATTCTCACCAACCATAAAAGTCTAACGTAGTAAAAGAGATAACTTACTGCTTAAGTGTTTGTCTGAACCTTGTTTTTAGCACAAATTCAGGCACAGCACACTCTGGTCGGGAAGCAGAAGCAGACCTGAAATCTTCCAGGCTGAGGCAGCGGCAGGCTAGGCAGAGCGCGCACACACGAAGTGTAATCGCAGAGGGCACACGTGACACTCCTGAAACAGAGTTTACAAGTGTTAGGGAGCCCAGAGCTGGACACACACGAATCAGGCAATACAGCTCACCAGGGCCTCGCTGTGGCCTCCCACCAAGGGATCTTCCCCTCCAGGACTCCCCGTCTGAGCCCTTGCTTTCAGAGGGCTGCCTGGAGGCAGTCAGTTCCAAAAGTATGGTCTGTCCACACACCAGTTCACCTCCTTCCGAGGGAGGAGGTCACGTGGAAGTGCTGCGCCGGCAAAGCCCAATAGCTGGGGCCACGCCTGCTGTACCACAGTCCCAGCTCTGGCAGGTGTGGCTGCAGGCTCAGCAGCCAGTTTGCATCCAAGTGCTCACAGCC